GTCTCTTTCTGGCCTTATTTCTGTCAGTGTTTGCCTGGAGCAGGCAGCTTTTGCAGGGGGTGACTTGGGCAGGTGTGGATCCTTCCTGCCATTTCTGGGACACTCATAAAGTGTCTCTGCAGTTTCCCATCTTTGGTCCCTTGAGCTGCTGTGAGCCCTGCCCTGGCCCAGGCTGGAGAGAGTAGGAACTGGGCTGCTCCTGGGCTGTCCTGGCCCTGCTGGGACTCTGGCACAAAGCAGAGCCATGCCATTGCCCTCTTGGGGACAGGGTTAAAAGCCAGTCACCTCCTGCCCTTCACCTCTCTGGTAAAACAAGCTCCTGCACAGGCTGCTGGCTTCTGCCCAGGGTTTTCTCTCCCTCCTTCCCTCCCTGTGGCACTGGGGATCCTCATTCCCCTCCCTGGCCATGTCCCACCTCTCCTGCTGCCCTGCCTGGTCCATCCCACAGGATTCCTGTGCCCAGGTGAGCTCAGCAGAGCACAGGTCTGCACACCCTGGGCTCTGGAAGAACCCCCTTAACTACAATATTTCCCAATATTTCCAGGGGGTCGGAAAACCCTCGGCACCGAGCAGCGAGATGGCCTTGGCTTCATCCTCCTCCTGTCGTGCTTCAGATGGATTTCAGAGAAACAACCCTTTTTTTAGAGCCAATGCCTGGAAATGCATCTGGAAAGCAATGTCAGGATCCTTCTTCTCTGTCAAATCAGTGAGATTAACCAGGAGTGATGGGAAGTGTTGGTGCGGACAGGAATGTCTGCATCCACAGGGTTCAGGACACTGGGCTGTGAGTCAGAGAAATTAAAAATGATAGTAAATTTCTTTTTTTTTTATTTATGCATAGAACATTTTGACATTAACCCATTGGTGACGCTGTGAGTCAGAGAAATTAAAAATTATAGTAAATTTCTTTTTTTTTTTTATTTATGCATAGAACATTTTGACATTAACCCATTGGTGACTGCATAGTTGGGAGGTTTAGGCACTGCCTTGGACCTCTCAGAGTTTAAGTATCACCCAAAATCTCCTTTTTCCTTCTAGGAAGTGCAGTGTGTCTGACTAGAGCACAATGAGCATTCAGTGAAATGAGTTGTTGAACACTGAGATCAAATCCTTGCTCCCCTTTTCCCTTTGTTCCTCAGGAGTACAATTCCTAGAAAAAAAATCTAACTGCAGACTTAGCTTGGTCCCTCCAAACCTGGAGATGTTGCACTACAGACACTGCTCCAGTGCTGGAGCTGGTGTGGAAAATATGATAAATGTCTGGGAAATTCCCAGTGGATGCAGGCAAGGATTCCTGTGGAGGGGCTGATTCCTGTGTCCCAGGGGGGCTGTGTCAGTCCCTGCCTGCTCTGTGAATTCTGCCCAGGGATGGTTTTGCCACAGGAGATTCACAAGGATCTTTTCTCTCCAAGAATTGCTGCCGTGGAGACCTTGGTTCCATCCCTGTGTGTCTGACCTGCAGAGAAAATAAAAGCTGGGATGAGTTCAGATGGTTGGATGTCTCCTGGTCCTTTCCTAGGGCAGGGAATGTGCTGGTAGGATACTCCTGGCAGAGCAGAGCAGGGCTTTGGGGGCCCTGGCACCTCTCAGCACCTGCCTTTATTCCAGGGGTAAGGAGACCCTGGCACAGGGTGCCCAGAGAGGCTGTGGCTGCCCCTGGATTCCTGGAAGTGTCCAAGGCCAGGCTGGACAGGTCTTGGAGCCACCTGGGATAGTGGAAGGTGTCCCTGCCAATGGCAGGGGGTGGAATGGGATGAGCTTTGAGGTTCCCTTTAACCAAAACCAGTCTGGGATTCTGTGAGTGTGCCAGGCTGCGCATGGAGCCTGCTGCTCCCATGGGAATTCTTGTTTCCAGGCTGATTCCTGGTGCCCCTGAGAGCTGGGATCTCTGGGGTGCTCTAGATAGGGGGATATGAGGCCTGCTGAGCCCAAAGGGAGCTGGTAGCCTTGTTTGAAGCAGGATTTGCTTGGAGATGTTGGAATATGCTTGGAGAAGCTCTGCCTGCTCCTGCAGAGTGCTGGAGTTTGGTCCTTCCTGGGGGTGTTGGTGCTCCTCGGATGCAGGGGTGGGTGGGACCAGCAATGCTCAGTGCTCATCTGGGAATGGTGGCTGCAACCACTGGTGGAGAGGGAAACAGGCTGGAAATCCAAGTGGGATCCCCCAGTGCAGGAGTGGGGGAGCCCCAAGGAGCAGCTGCTGGAGCCATGGGCTTTGATGTTAATAATAACATTATAATATTGTGTGTTTCTGCTTGGAGGCTCCTTGGAGGAGTGAGAGCTGTGCCTGCTGCTCCAGCTTCCCTCTGACTCCAGGTCTGGAGCCCCTCAGTGCCCCTCCATCCCTGCCTGGAGCCCTCCTGCCCCCCTGGCCATTCCCAGCCCTCTCTGGCTCTGCTGGGAGCGGGAGCATGGTGGGAGCGAGGGAGAGGCTCCCAGTCAGTGTGCAAGTGCCATTGTTTTGACACACAGGCATCTGGCACTGTCAGGAACAGCAAAAAGCAAGCCCAGAGCAGCTGCTGCCAAGGCAGAGCTGGCAGCAGCCAGGCCTGCACAGCCCTGCTTCCCTGGCATCAACCAGGGGCTGGGCACGCATCGCTTGGGGCCACCGAGGTCAGATGTGGCCGTGGCTACACCAGCCTTGGGAGCATAAAACTGGGAACTGCGGGGTGAGGAGCTGGGGGGGATCCCTGGAGGATCCCTGGGGCCTGGTGCTGGCTCAGTGCTGGCACAGAGCAGAGCTGGGTGTCCCAGCCTGCTGCAGGCACGGGGTGCTCAGGGGCAAACAGCAGCTCCTGCTGCCCCTCTCTGCTCCTGCAGGCTGTCCCAGCCCCTGGCTCACACCCAGGCTGGTGTTCCCTCTGTCAGATTCCTCTGTTCTGCACCTGTGCCCCATGCTAGATTCCAGGTTAGGATGGAGGGGAGGCTGTGCCATGCTCTGGTCCCCACATCCCTGATGTCTCTGCAGCTCATTTTTGTGTTCCCATTTACCAAGAGGTGCAGCAGCTCTTGCAGCAGGTGCTGGACTGGTCACACCATGTGGCACTTGGCACTGTCACCACCTGGGTAAGTGGCACTGAGCTGGTGCTCACAAGCTGCTTTTGTGGCTGTTTCTGAGGTCAAGTTCTTAAATCCTGGCCCTCTCCAGTTTCCCTGGGGTGGTTTGAGCTCTCCCTGTGTTGCTCTGCCTCTCTGTGCCTGCCCTGCCAAGGCAGGGAGGGGGCACTGGGGTGAGGTGGGCACTGGAGTGGGCACTTTGGGCCAGGCTGCAGCACAGGGAGAGCTGAGGGTTCCCAACAGCCCCTTCCTCCACAGACAGGCTCATCCTGCTCCTGTCAGGCACAGAGCTGATGTTTCCTGCCCTAGGCTGCTCCAGAGTGGGGAGGGTTTTTCCTTGCCCATTTCCAGGCTAAAAGGGGATTTCAGGAGTTTGTGAGCTGACAGGACTTGCCCTGCTGGAGAACCTGTGATCTTTCCTGCTCCTGCAGCTCCAGCTGTCTCCCCACTGCCAGGCTGTGCACCCCAAAACTCACCGGGCTGGGGCTCCAGCACAGCCTGTCAAGGTTGGGGCTCTCATCCCTCTCTCCCTTCTGAGCCCTGGCCCAGGAAATGCTGCCTTGTGTAAATTTACATCTGACTTGGCACAATGGATGTTTGCGTGGCTGCTGGCGGAGCAGCAGCCGTTCTGCTGCTCCCACATCGTGGTGGTAATCGAGGTGCTTGAGTTATAGCCCAACTTATTCCATTTTACAGCTCCTACGGCGTTAACAGATGTACGGGCGTCTGATCCAATCATGCAGCAAGAGATTTTGGGGCCAGTTCTTCTCATTTTGACAGTGTGGAAGCTGGGAGCAGCCATACATTTTACAAACAAGAATAAACGACCCTTAGCAACATATGGCTGTGCTGGCAGCTCCGGAGCAATCCCAGATCAGGCACCCTGCGAGGCAGGAATGTTGCTGGGCGCTGGAGCTGGGCAGCCTGGACAAAGCATCTGCCTTCCCCCGTGATATTAATGAGGTGCAGGCACTGGAATCCCTATGCTGGATGGCTGGGAGGGCTGGGAAGAGACAAAGAGCTTGGAAAAACAACTGCCAGCCCAGAGCAAGGGAGGTTTATTTGGATTTAGAGGCTGGGTTTTGTTTTGGTCACTCTGCTGCTGCTGCCTGGCTGACCTTGGGTTGGGAGCAGGGGCAGCTCAGCTGCCCTGTGCCTCTGCTCCAGCCTGGTGAGGAGGGTGCACCAGAGCCTGAGGAATCACAGAATTCCAGGATCATCCAGGTTGGAAAAGCTCTCCAAGATTATGAAATCCAATCTGTGCCCAATTCCCACCTTGTCACCAGCCCAGAGGACTGGGTGCCATGTCCAGGAATTCCTTGGACACCTCCAGGGATGGGGACTCCAAACCTCCCTGGGCAGCCTCTGCTAAGCCCTGACCACCCTTTCCATGAGAAAATTCCTCCTGCTGTCCACCCTGACCCTCCCCTGGCACAGTTTGATGCAGTTTCCTCTCTCCTGTCCCTGGGAGCAGAGCCTGCCCCTCCCCAGGCTGTCCCCTCCTGTCAGGAGTTGTGCAGAGCCACAAGGTCCCCCCTGAGCCTCCTTTTCCCAGCTCAAGAGCCCATGGCTGTCCTGTGACCTTGGGGACGACTCTCAGGGCAGAATGTCTCAGCCCTGCTGAGCTGCAGCCTTGTCCCAACTCCCTCCTGAAGCCAAGCCCTGCTTAGTGACACACCGAGGGTCACCCCAGCACCTCCCTCTGCCTCAGCCCTCCAGAAACAACTGCTGTGGGTAGAGAGGGAGGGGGCAGCTGGGAGCACCCCAGTAAATTTAATCTCTCCATCACATTAAGTGTAGCAGCTTGATTTATTTCTCTTTGCAATCCAAACAATGCCAGCTTTGGTCCCAAAACAGTAGTGAGATTTCTTCCCCCCACAGCTGGAAAAAAAAAGGAAATACTATAAATCCCTCCCCAAGCTGATTTATGGAGCATTCATGAAGAATTTATATTGCAAAGGATTTTATTAAATTAAACTTGAAAAGCCTCTTGATTCCTGAGGTTCAGTCCCAGAGCCAGAGCTCTCGTAAAACTGGCTGGAGCAGGGACAGGGAATGGCTGAGGTGACACTGCAGCTGATGGCACCATCCAAATCCAGAGCATTTGTCACCAGGATGTGCTCCAGGCTGAGGCTTGGAAAATTACTCCATGAAAAATGTGCATTAACAAGAGCCATGAAATATCTGCCTCAAACCCAGGTGAGTGATGAGACAGGGGATCTGTCAGTGCTGGGCACTCCTCACTCATTCCTGAGCATTCCTCACTGCCCAAAAAGGGACACAGAGCCAGAGATTCTTTGGAGAACAAGTTTAAGGTTGGTTCTACTCAAATAACTGAATGGGAAAAGGGGCAGGATGGATTTAAAAGCTGCCTCACTAAAAGCCCTGGATGGGCATCACCACCTTGCAGCCCACAGCATTCCCAGGGGGAAAATTACACCAGGGTAAATTCACATGGGTTCTGCCCAGGTGTATTTCCAAGCTGGAAGCAGCTTGGACATGAGTGCAAAGCTGGAATTGTGTGTGTGATGTGGGTGTGAGCTCTCTCCAGCCTGCTCTGCTGAAGGCTCCATGGAGAAACATTCCAGGCTCAGCAGGAACACCCTGGGAGGAACCCTCAGGGTGCTGCCCCTCTCAGCCAGCTCCAGCAGGGCCCTGCTCCTCACCCCAGCCCCTTTTCCTGCACCCTCAGTGCCCTGGGTGCTCCCAAACCCCGGGCTCTGCTCCCCCAGCTGCTCCTGCAGCCAGAGGGGCAGCTGGTCCCACCATTCCAAGGGACATGGAGACAACCCCAGCACACAGACCCCGGGATTTGGCCTTTCCTGCTTCACCCCCTCCATCCTGCTCCTGGCAGAGGATGCCCAGCATTGTCAGCACACAGACATTCCTCACATGCTCAACAAGAGGCAGCCAGAGCCAAGGAATTCGTGGTGCATTCCTGTAAATCTGTACAGCTCAGCTCCAGCCAGAGCTGATGGATTGGAAGGGATTTGGAGCAGCAAAGCACACAGGGCTCGGTGTTAAAATGTGACAGTTTGTGGCCCTTTGGTACAAGGAAATTCACATTTATTATTTCAGAGCTGCAGACACAATTCCCAAACGCCTCCAGCTGCTGCTCCATACGAGCACTGAGACTTCAGAGGAGGAGCTGATTGTTTTCCCTTCATCATCCTCAGAGTCCTGTCAGAGCTTCCCACAGCACCTGCTGCTGCCCAGGGAAATGAAGGCACCTCCAAAACGTTATGGAATTCTCCTGCCTCAACTCCCACCTGGGAGAAGCAGAGACTCCAGAGCCATCCCCACACGGGATGTGTGGGCCAGGTGTGTTTGGGTCCCTTCCAACTCAGGATATTCTGTGATTCTGTTCCTCTCAGGATTTAGCAACAAGGTGCTGGTTATTTCACGTGGAAATCCTTGGCAGCTCCCATTTCCAGTCCAGGCTTGTTCTCTCTCCCTTCCTTGATGGACAAAAGCAGTCAACTGGATTTAGTTTTCCATGATCAAGCACAAAACATTCCAGCTCCCAGCTAGGGCTCAGGTTTTATGTAGATTTTCTCTTCCTTGCCTTCCTTCATTGCAGCATAACGTGCCAGGACAAAGAGATAATCACTGAGCCTGGAAAGGAAGGGAGAAGCAGGAAAACCAGTGACCTTATTCCAGAAGAGAAGCTTGTGAGAAGCAAACCTCCCCCAGTTTTATTCCCAGAACTAAGGGAATGCTACAGTAGGACAGGGCAATGGTTTGGGATTTTATTTTTTTACCTGTTTAAATACTTGGCCACGTTTGGATCTGCTTCTCCTGCTTGGACTAAAGGGACCACGCTGGGGAAAGCAAAGGGAAATTCTGGTGTTTAATTTTCCAGTTCTGAGTCCACAGAGGGTGGAGCCTCTTCCCACCCCAAACCTCTCCTGGGGTCCCCACTTTGACTCCTGCAGAAGTGAAGGATCTTTGCTTCCCAGGGGATCTGGGAGGGGTAAATGATGCCAGAAATGTTTGTGTTTGTCCTGGAAAACCTCTGCTCTGCTCCTCCCACGATACCCATCCATGGGAATCACTGAACAGTGACTATTTACAAGGGCCTCGAGTGACAGGACAGAGGGAAGGGCTTCCCACTGCCAGAGGGCAGGGTTAGATGGGATACTGGAAGAAATTCTTCCCTGTGAGAGTGATGAGGCCCTGACCAGGGAAGCTCTGGCTGCTCCATCCCTGGAAGCATCCAAGGCCAGGTTGGATAAGGCTGCAGAATCCCGAAAGGTTTAGGTTGGGGAAGGAAGAACAGAGCCCAGCTTTGGGCCTCCTGCACTCCTGGAATTGGACTAAACACACCAAAGCCTGGCTTGAGCCCCACGCCCAGCCCAGGTTTGCTGTCACTGGGGTGTCCCCATCCCCTTTCCCCAGCACAGCACTCACCACCTCTCAGCCCTGCGGCACACGGCTCGGGAGAAGTGGAGAGCAGCACTGCTCCTGCCCCCAGACTGCAACAGCAAGGACAAGCACTCAGTGCCTGCAGCAGCAGGGACAGCCCCCTGCCCTCCCACACACATGACCCTGATCCCTGTGCCACGGCCAGGACATCCCAGTGCAGCAGGGGGGGCAGATGGAGCTCCCAGCTCCTCGCCTCTGCTTTTCTCTTGGCATTGCCCATGGAAACAGCACCTCCCAGGCTGCTCTCCCATGGTGGGCAGTGAGCAGGGCTGCCCCAAGGAGGTGAGGGGCACGGGCAGCACCTACAGGCAGGATGAAGGCTCTGAGGGGAGGCAGCTGCTCTGAGTAGCTGTCAATCCACTGCTCCAGCTCCAGGATGGGCTTCTCGCTGAACGACGTTCGCTCTACAGAGGGGAGAGAAAAATCCACTGAAAAAAAAAGTGATTCAGACAACAAGCTGAGCTCTAATTTTGCTTTCTTGGATCAGCAAGTCCTGAGAAAGCAAATATTCGACATCCCACCACGCACAGCAGGCTGTGCCCAAGGCCTGCCACCCCAGGAAAGGCAGGACTTACTGCGGTGAGCCTCCCTGGCTGAGGACAGTGGTGTGGCAATGTTGGAGCCCACATCCTGCAGCATGCACTGGACCTGGACAAAAATCACAACTGCTGGCACTCCCAGCCGTGGCTTTTCACATTCCTGTGCTCAGCAGAGCTGACCAGCCAAACTCACAGGCTGCCCAGGCAGGACCTGTGTCACTGGTGTGCCCTTGTGGTTGGTTTGTGTCCCAGTTTCAAACCTGGAGTTCTGTTACAACAAAACTCATGTTCACAATGTGGATCTGACTTAGAATAAACCTAGAGATGAATCTGTCTGCCCATAACTAATAATTTGGTCTGGCAGTTTCCTTCCTATTTGAAGAAATTTGCCTTTTAGAGGGCAATCAAGGGATCCTTAAAGATTTACATATTGAAATACTATTGAATTTCTATTTATATACTGAAATGTATTGAATTCCTGTGTGTCAGTGGGAGCACTGTAGCTAAAATTAAGGATTTCACGTTTTAATAAACTTATGTTTTGTTATGTTATGTTTTAATAGCATAGGTAAGTTACAGGAGTTATGCTTAACTCCTATATAACATAAGCATAGTAAGCATAGGAGTTCATGTTTTAATAGCACAGGTAAGGGACTGCACTGGATGAAGATGATCATTAATACTCACTTTATGAAGTTGATCAACAAACGTGTGACCCTTTTCACTGCTAAACTCACCAGCCAGCCTTGGGTAGAGAGAAAAATAAACAAAACAGAGTTAGCTGGGAATGAAGAAATCATAACAAACATGATTTTCCACGTGACTTGGACCCTCCCAGCCGGTCCGTACCCGATGGCCGAGCTCAGCTCGTCCGTGGCTCCGAGGGCCGCGAAGATGCGGTCGCCCTTGGGCCGCCGCTCCCCGGTGAAGGTGCTGGAGAATCCTTCGGGAAAGGCGGGAGGCGCTCAGGGCTCGCCCGGGGAGCTCCGCCCGCGGCCCCCGGGGCCCCCCGGGCTCTACCTGAGTCTCCCGTCCTCGTGTAGATCCTGGGGGCCCGCTCGGCAGCGGCGCGCTCGGGGCTGTGGAGGCACAAACCGTGAGGGGACACCGTGAGGGGGGCACACAGCGTGAGGGACGGAACGACACCGTGAGGGGTGGAACGACGCCGTGAGGGGCGGAAGGACGCCGTGAGAGGGTCCCGGCCCTCCCAGGCTCACCTGCCCGCCCCGCTCCGCCACCGCCGCCCCGCCATGCCCCGCAGCTCCCGGCCCGCCGCCGCCGCCGCCCGCCGCCACATCCTCCCGGCCGCCGTCGCCGCCGTCCCGCCCTCAGCCCACGCTGTCACCCCAGCGCCGCGCCACCCCGCAGCGCCCCCTTCCCATTGGCCGCCCGCAAGTCCCGCCCTCGCGCGGCGCCCGGCGATTGGCTGAGCGCGGGGAGGCGGGGCAGGGCGCGGCCCCCCATTGGTGGGTGCGGCTGTCAGTCGGCGCGGGCCGTGAGGCGGCGGCGATGTGGGAGCGGGAGCTGGCGGTGTCGGCGCCGGGCAAGGTGATCCTGCACGGGGAGCACGCCGTGGTGCTGGGCAAGGTGAGGGCACGGCGGGGCACTGAGGCACTGAGGGCTGCCCAGCTCGGTGAGGCGCCGCTGACCGCCGTTCTCTGCCCGCAGGTGGCCCTGGCCGTGGCGCTGGACCTGCGGACGTTCCTCCGCCTGCGGCCCGGCGCTGAGGGCCGGCTGAGCGTCTCCCTGCCCGGCGTCGGCGTTCGCAGGAGCTGGGACACCCCCGGCCTCCGGGCCCTGCGGGGGCGGATCGCAGGCAAGGGCCGGGGGCAGTGAGGGGCTCTCGGTGCCGGTCGGTGCCTGCCACACCCCGGTGACCGTGCTGGGACCCTCCATGAGGTGACCTTGCAGAACCCCCGTGGGGTGACTCTGTGGGGTTATTTGTCCCCCCTGTTATTTGTCTCTGACCCTGCTCACTGACCTGTCCCTGCTCCTCTCAGTTATTTGCATTACCCTTGTGACCCCGCTGATGCTCAGGTGGCCCTGTCCCCTCCTGGATTGGGTTCCAGGGGCTTGTTCCGGTGCTGCTGTGGCTCGGGCAGTGCTGTGACACAGGCAGGAGCCAGCCTGGCCTTGTTTTCCTGCCTGTGTGTCCCACACCATCCCCCATGGGAATTTCTACAGCACCTTGCACTGGCTGGAGCCCCAGGATATCCCAGCTCCAAAATCCACATTCTTTAATGAAGAGTTTGTGACTTGCAGTGTTTTCCACAGTAATTGTGGGTGGATGCACTGGGAGGTGTAGGCAGGGAAACATTTGGAAGTGGGGAGTGTGGAAACCCTGGGATTTCAGAGTGCCTGGTGGAGATTTTGCTTTTATTTTATCACAGATCCTCAGGTAGAACCTGAAATTGGCCCCAGCTGTTTCTCCCTGCTGTAACAGAAGGTTTTGTTGTAAATACTGCTCTCAGTGTAACAGTTCCCTGTTTTTTTTAAGTGTTTAAACTCTCCCCTGCTTGCTTCCATAGCTGATGTTGATGAGTCCAAGTCTCCCAGCCTAGAACAGCTGGATGCACTGAGGGAGTTTGCTGGAATTGCTGCTGGGGCCTCAGCTCCAGAAAGTCTTGCTACTCTTGCCTTCCTGTATATGTGCCTGGCTATTTCTGCTAAGTATGGGTAAGGCTCTGCTCCTGCCCCAAAATTTGGGTGGTGGGTGGGTGCTTCAGGCAGCTGAGCTGGGAGTCTCTGATCTCAGTTTTGAGGGCTGAAACCAGAACAGTTCATGCCACAGTCACAGCACACACATACCTCTACAGGCAGCTCTTGTCATCCTGGCTTAGGCTGGAAAAACAGAAATAAACTGTGAATTTGTTGTCTGAACTAAGTCTGATTTCTTTATGGGCTGAATCTCCCTAAAACTCTGAGAACTTGGGGCTGTTCCAGTCCCCAGCCTTGCCCAACACCATCAGTGATCTCTGTGTGACTGGATGGGTGCTCAGGGCAGTGTCAGAAACCAAAGTATAGCCCAACTTCCATCTTCTCATCCAAGAAATCCAAGGATGAGGAGCTGGGATGTGCAGCTGGGTTGTGGTTTCCCTGCAGTCTCAGGGTGGCACTGGGACTGTCACTCAGCAGCCCTGAAAAGCTCCTGGGATTGATTTTGGGGTCAGGAACACAACCCAGGTGTGTTCAGTGAGGCAAAAGGACGTGGATATGTCCATGTTCCATCTTCCCCACCAGCCTCTTGCTCCAGTGGGATGTGGCTGTGCAATTACAGATTTGGGTTGTTTACACTTTATTCAGAAATATGTTTACAATCCTGTTTACAACAACCTCTGAAGGGTGGTGCTCAGGTATTTAGTTACCAGGAGCCCCTTCTAGCAGCCTGACAAGCTGTGCCAGTCATGGATCCAGCTCAGGAGGGATTTATTCCAGCACAAGGGGCTTGGCCAGGCTGCTCCATTCAGGAATGAGCCCTCCTGAAGCCCCACTGTGTCAGATGCACGTGCTGATGTTGCCAGTTCTCAACCAGCTTTCCCTGTGATCAGTCCTGCCAGCCTCTTTGCCTTTGTGATGTGGTCTGGAGGTGGAATTCGGGGTGCTTGTGGCAGTGCCTGTGTGTCTGTTTTTGCAGGGATGTTCCCAGCGTGGAGATCGTGGTGTGGTCGGAGCTGCCCACGGGAGCAGGGCTGGGGTCCAGTGCTGCCTATGCTGTGTGCCTGGCTGCAGCCCTGCTCATGGTGTGTGGAGCCATCTCCTGCCCACTGCAGGAGGGAGACTCCACAGCCAGGTAAGGAATTCCAGCTCTGCTCCCTGTGCTCCACTTTCCCTTTTGCCTGCACCAGTTCTGGCACTGCCACCTCTGCTGGTCTCTCTTGGCTGTCACAAGTGCCACCCTGAGCCCATCTCCTGTCCATGCCCAGTGTTCCCAGCCCTGTCCCAGACTTTGTAGAACTCCCCATTTCCCTTGTTTAGGGTCAGAAAAACATACCTAAAAAGGGGGAAAAAAAAGCTTTATTTTTTCAGTATAATAAAACACACTGAAAAATTTTAACCTCAGTTTCCTCTGGCTCTGAGCATCTTCCAGATTTTGCTTCAAGTCCTTGAGGATCCTTTCTGGGTTTTTTTTTTGCATTTCTCATGAATTCTTTTCAGCATGTGCTGCTTTTCCTCCTGATCTCCTGCCTGTCTTTCCCTTTTATCAGTACCTGATGAAAGAGAGTTTCTTTCCCTCTGCCCTTGGAACTCCTCTTTGGAAGCCTGGAGTGCTGTGCCCCTGTGAGGGGGAGCTCTGTTTGAAGCCATTAAAAATCAAAGCTGGAGGGGCAGAACTCTGTTGTGTGGGATTTTGTGTGGGGCTGAGAGTGAGACAGCAAGGAGGGTGGCTCTGTGTTCTGCTTCTGAACCAGAATTTGCAGCCTGACACAGAAGCAGGTCTTGTTGGGAGCACTTTGTCCCCTGTGCTTGGGCAAATCTCCCAAACTGGGAAATGAAAGGGCAGCTCCAAGTGGTGCAGTCAGGATGTCTTCATTCCCTGCTCACCCTCCGTGGCTTCAGCATGGATCCTGCATAATTCCTGCCTTCCAGCTGGTGTGCAGAGAGCTGGGGGTGTCAGACTTCAGAAGGATTTTGCTTCCCATGGCAAGAAAAGAACAGCAGGATAGAAAGGCTCCTGTGTCGGGAGGAATTGCAGCCTCTCAAAGAGGATTAAAAACAAGTGGTTTACTCCTGTTCCTGAGGCTGCTGGTGTGAGCTGTTTGCTGAGTGCTCCCAGATTAAATCCTGGCAGGTGGAATGCAAGGTGTGTGGACATGGATAAGGACATTCAGCCAAGGCTCAGGGGAGCAGGAGTGAAGTTTCTGGATAGCAGGTGGCTCTTGGAATTTCTGCCTTGCCTTGCAAGATGCTGCAAGGCTTTCCCAAAACGTGGATTTGTGCCCTTGCCCCAGCATGGAGTACCTGTTGAATGGACTTGTGGTGTGCAGGGAGGGTCAGGGGTGTTTTTTTGTGCTCAGACTGAGAGAAGGATTAGATGGGATACTGGGAATTCCTCCCTGAGCATGGTGAGGCTCTGGCAGAGGCTGCCCAGAGAAGCTGTGGCTGCCCCTGGATCCCTGGAAGTGTCCAAGGCCAGGTTGGATGGGGCTTGAAGTAACCTGGGAGTGGAAGGTGTCCCTGCCCAACCAGGGCCTCACCACCCTCACAGGGAAGAATCTTTTCCTAATATCCAATCTAAACCTGTTGATCTCTGTCAACTTAAAGCCATTTCCCCTTGTCCTGTCATTCCAGCCCTTGTAAATAGCCTCTATCTTTCTTGTAGCCCCTTCAGGCACTGGAATTAGGTGGCCCCAAAGCTTCTCCTCTCAGGCTGAACAATCCCAGCTCCCTCAGCCTTTCCAGTGTGTGTGGTAACACACCACGTTTGGTGAGGTGGGGATGAGTCTGGACTTGAATTCCATTAAATCTGATCTACACCAGGCCAGGACTGGGATCTTCCCCCTGAATCTGATCCCTCCCCATCCACTGGTTTGGAGTGGTTTGTGTTGGAGTTATTTCCTTGCCTTCCAGGTGGACAGAAGAGGAGCTGACCCTGATTAACAGCTGGGCCTTCCGAGGGGAGCAGGTGATCCATGGCAATCCCTCGGGCGTGGACAATGCTGTTGGCACCTGGGGTAGGTGTGTTTGCTGCTTCTCAGGCAGAAACTCCCAAAATCAGCTCCCTGTTCTGGCCTGAGCACAGGGGATCCTTCCCCTCTCTCAGTCTGCCCCATCTGTGAGCTGGGCCTGGAGCCAGCTGGAATGTTGGGAACAGGCTGCAGGAGCACCAGAGCTCTGTCCCCCCCAGGCAGGTGCCACGGGGCAGAGACCTTGCTGCAAATAACTGATATTTAAACATTCTGCAGGGACAAAGAAACCTAATCCTGTCCCAGGGATAATGCAGGGGAAAATGCAGTTGGACAGCTGTCATTTAGTTTCAATTAGCAGAGACTTCCCAGTGTTTTGAAAGTGTCCTTGGAGACTGTTAATAATCTTTCTAATGAGACCTAATCACACTGCCTCTGTGAGGGTAGGAGCCAAGTTAGACATTCCTTCTGGACAATGAAATTCCATGCTGCAGGATGGCTGCTGACACCAGTGCACACGTTCAGTCCATGGAATCCCATGTGCTTGGCTCTGCCACAGGGAATCACTGCTGGATTCTGTTCTCTCAGGAAAGATTTCATGCTGGCCAAACTCTGCCTTTTCAAAAATTATTTGTTATGATCCTGGAGGAGAGGAGAGCAAAGGGAAAGGCCT